CTTTGAGCTGGGCTAGGTAGCAGGCCTGAAATCACCTCTGCAAATGCAGAGAGAAGGATATGCAGAAAGAGTCATCTGCATAACACAACTGAGATAGTATCTAATGTTTTGGGGTCAGTGCTTCAGCTCTGATGTGTGATCTTTTAAGACCCAGGATGTCATAGCCTCTATCCTGAGGCTCAGTCCCAGCCGACAGCGACAGCGACAGTGTGGAGCATTGGCTCTTCGTCCCACCTCATTCTAGCTCACACAAGGGAGCAACAGGGTCCAGGAAACACTGCCTGTCATCTTCAAAGACTACCATCAGCACCTCGGCTAGACTTATGCACTTTGCTTAAAGCCAATTAAAGGGATAAAGAAAAGTCCTGGCCAGCTCTGTACATATCAGTACATGGAAATAGGGTCAGGCTCAGCCAACATGGAGACAATTGCTCCTCTTCCAAGGAGAGTTGCCCAGGTGGTCCTCCAAGGACTGGGTCAGGGGGTAGAAAAGGACCTAGACCATTAGCACCTCATCAATAAATGTCACTGCTCCAGGCAGATATCTGTGCATTTTAGTTTGTTAGTGAAATACAGAGAATCCCTAAAGACCAAGGATTGAGTATGTTTCTGGGATGGGCAAAATGGAGGTTTTGACAGGTGACCTAAAGAAGGAGGCCTGGTCAAGATATATTGAGGATCAGGGCTGGAAGCACATGCCCTGTCCAAGCAGAGCGCTGGCTCCAGCAGAACAACCTTGTGACTTGTGCAGACCTGACCTGATTTTCCATGGAAACCAGAAATCTGAAATGGTACATCTTATTTCACGGCTGCTTAAATCTTGGTGCATGATGAAGCAAACAAATTAATGTTCACTGGAGACTCAGAAGATCCCCGACAGCTTGTATCAGTCCATGTTTACTAGAGAAACAGGTGTAATACGAGATATTCAAATATATAAGGATTTACAAGATTGGCTTTCAATGGCCACTTAGAACTGGATGTAGAAGAGTGCAGAGGGTCTGTTTGCATGCTGGAGACCAAAGGATCCAGTCAAGGGCCTGGAGCTCGCTGCAGTGTCTCAAGCAAGTCTGTATTAGGAGGCCAGTGGGTCTGTGATGGTAGGCTGAAAAGTCTAGCTGAAGGGTCTGCACTGGAAGCCAGGAGATGACATCTAAGGTGAAGGCAAGACTGGAGCCCCTCAGAAGAAACAGAAGCAGATCCATCCTTCTTCATTTCTCCTTTGTACCATCCAGGCAACAAGCTGCCCTAGAGTGTATCTTCCACACCCTAGAGTGGATCTTCCACACCCTAGAGTGTGGGATTGCTGAGCCAATTTAGTGAGTTTCTCTTACTCAAGTTGACATCTTCTGAGAGTTTTAATGTACAATTCAGTTGGTCATCAGTGCAGTAAAGTATATTAGGGTCAGTATCCCTGATTGATAGATGAGGAAATTCAAGGAGGTCAAACACCACTTACCCAGGGAAACAGCTGGGATTTAAACCACATCTACTGCTTCCAAACTCAATTCATAACCATTTCACTAAACTGTTTCTCCACTTTGTTCTTTTAACTTCTTTGGACATATTGCTGGAAAGGTTACAAGAGCAGCATGAACAGTTCCCATACACTGTTCACCCAGAGACCCATATTTTCACATTTGCTTACTTTCACTTCCCTTCCCCCTTCTCTCCCTCTGAACACATCCTAGCTAGAGATGCTAGGAGTTTTTAAAGCAGTAACAACCCCAGTGGCAGTGCGCACATGTAGGATCCAAATCTTGGCTTCTAAACACCATTCTGTACCAAAACAAACTAGGACCTCTTGAAAAAATAGAGGATTCCTAGACTGGGGTAGTGAGGTACACAATCACTGGAATGTCTTCTTGTTGCAGGAAGCAAGGGCATATTCAAAAATGCTGACCACATGCCAAGAAAGCACAGGAACATATTCAAAAAGGCCCCCACTGGCCAAATCTGGACAATTTAAACATGAGAATAAACAAGAGTGAAAGATTATAACCCACTAGAAAACATGCATACCCAATGAGCTCATATTGATATAGGCTAATTAAGAAAAGGAAAAAAATCTTTCTGGTGGAATGCCAACTAATAAAATAGAAGGATTGATGGAACTCAAAAAATGACTATGTGGCCACCCTGTCTGAACCATACAGAGATATCAAATTTAATTTATAAGTTTTTCATTTCAATATGTAGCATCAATACTAGCATGTTTAGAGCTCAGGGTTGATGGGCAAACAGAATTTTTAACTGACCTGATGAATTTCCTTCAACATTAAAAGTTAATTTTCACAAGTCTTCTAGGGTGTACTCTATGAATAGGTAAAACTGATTGTTTTGGTATGTCTAGATGTTCTCCTGTTTTTATAAAATCACACATTTTATTTTTTGTGCCTTTAACCTAGAAACACAAGTTCTCACACTTTTGTGTTCTATATCAAGTGCTGAACTAGGTATATTTTAAATTTTTCAGTCTTCATGAAAACACTTGTACATGAGGTATATTAGCCCACATTTAATAGCTGAGCTTTAGAGAGTTAATGAAATTCTTCATGTCGCATAGGTAGGAAAAGTTTCTTTTGGGTGGAGACCCAGATGAGGTTACTAATTCTAAAATCCACCATTTCCTAGCTACACCAGCATGGAGTTTACAGAGCATGGACCTTACCGTGTTTCATTAGAGCAGAGAAACACTGAGAATTTGGGCTTGAGTTTCAATCCAGCCATGACAGATTTCTTACAATTTTGAGGGCTCTCACAGTTCTTATATTGTCTGTACAGTGTACCAAATTTCCTCTCATTACTTCACACCAACAGCACTTCCCCCAGTGTTGGAAGTTGAGTCTGTTCCATTGCTCAATCACAGTGTGAGGAAGTTGGCTTAGGTCTGCAGACCATGGCATGAAAATGCACACTGTGGGCTCCTGGAACCACACACCAGGCAGGAAGATGTTCACACATAGAGATGTGCAGGAGAAATGAAGCAGGAGTTGGATCACATATTCTTCCTCTCTCTGGCTTGGAACTATTGCAATCACCATTTCCACATTCTCCCACTGCTCCAAACCATTCTACGCACATTTAACCCAGGCATATAAAACCACTAGCTTTATGCCTGGGTTAAATGTGCAGAGAATGCAACTTTCTTATTCAAAAGAAGTATTTGAACATCACCAAAGTTAAAAGGACTGCATTCCCAATATATCATTGCAAACCAATTTCCTTTAAATATCCAGGGAATTTCATTCAAACTAAATAACCAAGCCTCCTGGAGACAGAATAGGAGCTGGAGAACATATAATAACAAGCTGCTGGCACAGAAGAGCATATGTTATTGATGACAAGCACAGTAGCTCTGAGCTACTGAGCCTTTACCCTGTGACAAGGTTATATGATCCACTGATGAACAGGAGCTCAGAGAGGAGACCTTCCAACTCGGCGTGAGCCCTGGTTCAGCCACACATCAGCGGGACGACCTGGGGAAATTTTCCCGGGTTATTGGTCATCATAAATGGTTGTTGCAAACATTACTGCAGAGAACAAAGTAGGGAGGGATGTTTACTGGGTTCCTATTAGGAGCTGTAAACTAGGCATCAAGGGCAAAATGGCAAATCCCACGTCCCTTCTGTCACTGCCCCTTATAGTCTAGAGGAGCGAGAGGAAGGTGGGATTGGCATGTGTCAGCCAGGTAATCACAGACGTGCACATAAACGTGCCCAATGGTGGGCATTGAATGAGAGGTCCATGTCAGTATCAGACAGGGGCGGGATCCCAACACCCTGGTCAGAATCCTATTTAGTGATCGAAGCAGATTACGGGTCTTTGTCTCGGCCTGTTTCCCCAGGAGTGAAATGGGAAGAACTATCATACCCATTGCACAGAGTGTGGTGAGAGCTCCGAATTCCTAGGGAGCAAGTGCTCAGAAGTGCCAGGGCGTGCGGAGCAGTCCGTCAGTGTTAGTTACTACTATCGTCCTGGCTGCAGTCAGGCTGATGGCAGCATCCACTGTGGGTGGGCTGCTCAGCGGGGTGGGGGGCAGCGGCACTGTCCTTGCTCCCCCTGCTCCTCCTGCCCAGGCTGCTGCATGCACGGTGGAGCCCCACATGCAGGACCGTGGAAGCCCCATCCCTCCATCCTGACAGACTGTGCTGCTGCGTGCACCCGAGGGCTCCCCAGGATCTCATGGAGGCCAGAACTGGACCCCAAATCACATCCTGGCTCAGCTCCTTTCCCTTCCCCATCCGGCGGCCCCCACCGCCTGGCGGGTTTGTCCCAGAGTCACGGCCTCCACGGGTCCGGTCCCAGAGTCAGCCTCTGCAGGACACAGGTCATCAGGGAAGTCTTCCTCCGCGAAGTCAGAGCAGGGCGCTGCATGGCAAGGGAACGCACAGCAGGCAGAGCGTGCCAGGAGGGAGACGCAGGAGCAAGGGCCGCGGGTGCCAGCACGCGGGAGAGGACAGCACCGAAGGAAAAGAGGAGGCCAGTGGGACGGAACTCTGCTGCACGGGGGGGGGTGTGTGTGTGTGTGTGGCTGAGTGAGCTGAGGTCTGGGGTTGGTAGGGCCACGTGATAGGCCGTGGAGGTCCGGCGTGTAGATGTGCATCTGTATTAGAGCAGTGGGAAGCCGCAAAGCAAGGGTGAGGCGTGGTCAAGTTTGGGTTTGAAAAGACCGGTAAAGCCAGTGGTGTGCGGAGGACGGACGGGGAGAAGCAAGGGTCGGTGAGAGCCGATCGGGGGCGCTGTGGCGGTCCAGACGAGAGGTATCAGCGACCACAGCTAGCACAATGGTGGGGGGAAAATTGTTCTGTGATCCACAGGATCATCTTTCAGTGAAACTTCTGTTGAAGTCTACATTTTTTTAAAAGATAGATTTGTGATGCAGAAGGGCTTATAAAGTGGCCACGTAAGAAAATTTTCTACCAGTGAGACAAAGATTGAAATTTAAAATTTTGACACAGGAAATGCAATGAAGGGGAAAAAACTGTCTTATGTTTTTAAAAAAAACTTTTATTTCTACTTTCAAAGAATTTAAAGGCATTCAAACAAAATCTGACAACACATTTGGATTTATAATTCTAAGCATAATTTCACAGCAGAGAGAAAGCATACACTTATTTTAGTAAATGTATATATTCATTCAAATATAAAGATATAAATGTACAATTCCAAAATTCTAAAAATATAACCTAAAAATGGGAATAATTATAAAAATACAGAAATATACAGTACATTTAATGAAAAGTAGTAGTGAAAATATGCACAAAAAGCCACATGTAAACAATTTTAAAGGGTTGCATAAATCTGTATACATCTTGCATTTATGGAACCATATTTTCTTAGATTTTACATCACATAAAAATTTATGTCATCCTTAACAAATTCATACTTTTCTGTTCTTCAGTAGAATAGGTGGGAAAGTTAAGAGCTAGAAAGTCATTTTCTTAAAATCACTGTAAATATTTTTAATCTGTGACTGAACTTCAGAACACTTCCCAGCATCACAGATCCTAAATTTATATATTTATATGAAAAGTGACAGAACAAATTACCACTGAAACACACACACACACACACACACATACACACACAGATGTGTGTATGTATCCACAGCTCCACTCATCTGCATTCTAATACCATAGAGGAAATACTTTAATGAAAAAATATTGAGGGCGCTTTGATCAACTTGAGTAAGTCATTAAGATATTCTTATAGAAGAATTTCTGGCTTAATTTAACTACTTCTTAAAATAGAGCTATTCTCTCATTTCTTAGTAATATCTCCACTGAAATGCAAGAAAAACAGTTTTATGAGACCCTGAGTACTTTAACCAATATTTAGCTTTGATGTTATTATTAAGTAGGTATTTCCCCCAAATATCACAGTACACAGAGTTACAGTAAACAGATTGTCATCATGATCCTCGGTCCCAGAGTTGGAAAGACTTTGCGTCTCAGACTCGAAAGGCTGTATCAGGCCTGTCCTTGTGAAATGTAAACTTGAGAGTTACAGATTTTGCAGTGAGGTTGGAAGGCAGGTGCAGGAGCATCTGGTAACCTTTGCCCTGAGTGTTCTTTATGTGCTGCTCGATGCTCTAGTTTTTTGAAGTTTGCTTTCCAGCAATGCGGACGGCGTAGGCACCATGCTGCTAGGAAGTTAAAGATTGTTGTTCCTGATTTTGGTGAAAAAAACAAAGCCTGGAAAATGAAGTATACCCCAATTACATGTCAAACCAGTGTATTTAAATGACAGGAGTTATTAGCAAAATAATAAATGTCTAAACCTAAGTTGTCACCAGCTCTGGCCAGAGGTATAGCTCACCATGATAAGCTGTCCTTGCTGAAGACTAGGGTGGGCTCACAATCAAAGCAAAATTCTTCTATGGTCCCTACCACATGCACCTTTGTTGGCAGACATGCTCAGAGCGTGACAAATTCCCTAGTGGTACCAGACACCGGGGAAGGAGTAAGAAGGTATTTATTTGTGCCCCATTCTGAAACTTCATCCAAACTGCTTGTTTTTCTAAACAGCTCATTGGTTATGAGATGCCTACACCTGGGAAACACTCACTAGTTCTCAGCAAATACTATGGATGCAGTTAAAGTGGCAGGATGAGGGAGGCTGGGCTTGCATTAAGGTGTGGGATCCTATGAGAAGCATGCTCCACAGACCCTGGGTGATGTTGGGGGTTTCTGTAGCAGACTTGGGGCCAGTTCCAATTGTTCCTCACTCACTTAGGAGAAAATAACTAGACTTACAAACTCATCATTTCATGAAGGAAATCATTTCTCAGGACAAGGCTAAAGTGACATAGTAAGCCCAGGTGAACTGACAGAAAATAATTCAGTAGAAATTAAATAGTAGTAGGCATACGGGCATGGAAAGGGCTGTGAGGAGGACACAAGAATTCCCTGTTGTCACAGAAGGTACTGCGGAGCTTACTGCAGTGTAAAAGTGTTAAACTGTACTAATCCAGGCTGGACATGTGCTCCCTTCCATTGAGGACACCACACACCATTAACCAAGGCCACTGAGACCAAACCATGCACCATCTGTGTTTGTAAAGTTTTATTGGAACACAGTGTTGCTAAGCAGAATGAGGTTTTCCAAAAATGTTAATGCTCCAATCTCCAAAACTTGTTAATAGGGTGCTTTGTATAGCCAAGGGGACATTGCAGATGTGCCTGAAGATCTGAAGTGGGGAGACTACTCTGGGTATAACTTGCCAGAGATGTGGGACACACAGAGGAGAGACGAGAAGCACGAGGGACTTAGCTGCTGGTTGCTGGTTTCACACGGAGGGGGAAAGAATCACAAACCAAGGGACACAGTCAAACTCTAAAAGCTGGGTTTGGCCTTTGGCTGACAGTAGCAATGAAATGGGGACCCCAGGCAGGAATTCATAAAGAACTAAAATCCTCCAACAACACAAAGAAGCCAGAAATGAATTCTCCTCTAGAACTTGCACAAAAGTTTGGGGCTGGGGATTTAGCTCAGTGTCACAGCATCTGCCTGGCAAGTGCGAGGTCCTGAGTTCAATTCCCAGTAGCCCCCCCCCCCAAAAGAATACAGTCTCATGGACACTTTAATTTTAGCCTAGAAAGAGCCACATCAGACTTCTGACTTACCAAAATGAAAGAATAAGTTTGTGTTGTTTGACCCATAAAGGTTCAGTAAAGTGTTATGGCAACAACAGAAGGCTGACACAAAGGCCCAGGCATTCACACTGAACTATATCTCTAGCCCTTTTTATTAATTTTATTTTGAGACAGAGTCTTGCTAAATTGCCCAAGCTGGGTTCAAACATGCAATCCTCCTGTCTCAGACTCCCAGAGTGCTGGGATTACAGGCATGCACCACCACACCTGGCTCCATCCACTCATTTTATGAGGCAGCCTTAATGGATGTGGTGGACACTGTGGCCCACAGAGCCTAAAATCTTTGGCAACTGGCCTTTCACAGAGTAGTCGACAGGCTCTGCTGTCCACACACAGACCCCTGCTATTCACGGCAGCTAGCATTTAATGGATACTTACATGATGCCTGGCTCTGGGCTAAGTATTTGGTATTTATATCAGTTTTCTGTGACTGATCCTATTTTTGTCTCCATTTTGCCAATGGACAAATGGAGGTAGAGGTTAAGCAACTTCTTAGGTCACTTGGGGAACTCAAACTCGAGCCTGGCTGATGTCTAAGCTCAGCTCACCCCTTGGTCATTTGCTGCCAGCCCTGATCCATCTGTGGAGTGGGAAGAAGCCCTGAGAGGCTCACCTGAGGATCTCATCTCCGGCGAAAGGCTACGGGCAGCTGCCGGCTGGGCATCAGGATGCCTAGGTGCAGCATCTCGACGGGCTCGCTGTCTGTGGCCACAATGTCATATCTGCGGACAACCTGGAACCCAGGTACACAGAAAGGAGGCGTGAGCCCTTTGTTCCCCCCCCTCGTGGGACAGCACAGACAGTAAGTGCGGAAAGCGGGAAGGACTTTACCCAGCAAACAGCCAAGTGGAGCTGGAGCTCAGCCAATCGGCGGCCAATACACATTCTTTTCCCAACGCCAAATGGAAGATGTGCAAAAGGATTTATCTTTTTCTCCCTTTGAAGCCAACGTTCAGGTTTAAACTGATCCGGATCTTCAAAATTGTCTTTGTCAGACCCTAATACGTAGGTGTTTAACATTAACACTGTCTAAAAACACACAGAAATGCATGGCATTTAAAATAACCAGAAGAGAACATTTGAGAGGCAAAATTTGCAAAGGTGATTATCTTACAAATATAAAACAGAATCACACATTCATAATAATGGTGATTATCTTGAGTGCTTAAAGTATGCACCTAAATAAATAGACACAGAAATTTAAAAGTTTGCATTTCATTATCACAACACCCTCTGTGGAAGAGTCTTTTAGTCTTTCCATTCCACAGATGGAAAGTTGAGGCTCACAGACATTACATAACTCACTCAAGACCACACAGGTAAAAGGGTACTGAATCCAGGTCGTTGTCTCCACAGCCATTATTCTTAATTCTATTTTAAGTAAGACAAAAATTACCCTTTCTGTGGGTTTCCAAGACAAATGCTCCCCTGGTTAAAAGGTTCAGGGGTATCTGATGAATTTTTGAAAAGTGCACCCTTCAAAGTCTTGTAAGGTACAGAAGAGACAAATTCTACTTACCCCCTTGGGTAAAGCGTATTCCCCAAGAACTGTCGTCTTATCAAGAGTCCGAGTTGTAAAAGGCACACTTGGGGTGAGTCTAAAAAACAAAATCAGTTGGAAGGGTGGCACAGCCCAAGTTCTGCAACATCAATGGGAATGTATATTGGGTTCAATAAATACATGGTGCGTGGCCTCAGACTCAGAAAGGGACCATGATCACAGCTGTTCATAAAGAAGTCTCTCGCTTTCTTCTCAATACTTGTATCTCTTATCCCCTTTTCTTATCCTATCACATTGGCTAAGTCCCCAGCGCAAGGCTGATTACAGTAGTAGCTGATAATACTGGTTTTTCTCTCTTCCCATTTCGCCTTGAACCGGGTGGGTCTGTGTTTCTCCTATGTGCTCTTCATGCAATTATTACTATTCTAACCCTACGACGTGAGTTTTGTTTCCCAGAAAGGGTATATAAAGAATTTTCCAAAGATGTTTCATACTTGAGCCTCAAATAAAGATCTCTCTATATCTCATTATATAATGAAATGTTTCTGTTGATGAGCTTTTATCTCCTCTCCTCCAATCCTGCCCTGATCTTCGTTAGTGCTAAGAGCAACCATTAAAGTAGTAGCGGCATTGATTTAAAGCGGGAAGACCCTGACTTCCCAAGATTTGGCAGAATTTGCCTAGAGGATTTAGGAAATGAGTGATAGAAATAAATAAGATCTCAAGATCCTTTGTCCTTGTGTGGTAAATGTTTATAATCAACTGGGGGAACTGTGTATGAGCATGGTGCTCTATTCATCTTGGCTTAGACATAAATTCTTACCTCATCGATTCCTTTAGGCAAGCCTTTAAATATGGCATTTTCTTCAAATCCTCTGCCCGTGGCATCTGATTCTCAGGCAACACACTTTGAATTTCATTAAGAAGTTTTTGCTGCACTTGAGGATTTCGGGATAGATTATAGAGGATCCACATGAAACTGTTGGCTGTCTGGAAACCAAATAGACACAAACTTGAATTTTAGCAAAGAAAATGGCTTCAACACTGTGAGAGGCAGAAGGTGAGGGCTCCCACCTTGCTCTGCAGATGTGATAGTGACATTTTCTCATGTGTTCTTATTTGCTGTGCCTTGGGGCTGGGGATTTAGCTCAGCGGCAAAAGCGCCTGCCTGGCAAGCGCAAGGTCGTGAGTTCGGTTCCCGGTACAGGAGAAAAACCAAAAAAAAAAAAAAAAAAAAAAAAAAGAAAAAAAATCTTATTTGCTGTGCCTTAAGCCAATCCAATATCTGAAGTCAGACTTCTTATGCAAAACATACCAAGTCAGGATAACTTACTACATAGGTCAACATAGAACTTTTAAAATAATCAGGTGCATTAGGAGACACTGAAAATATAGTTCAACACAATTATTGTTGACACAGGGATTTGCAGATCTCCTGTGCCTATCTCCACGTTGTGATGTTTCATTGTTGTGTTCCACTGTGGGAAACTAGGTGAAGGGCCGCTCTCTATTCTTTTTCTTAGGTTATATGTGAGTCTATGATGATTTTAAAATGTTAAGAAGTTTAATTAGAAACAGTTTCATGTAAAAAAAAAAATGTAAAAACTGAGAAAAGAGTGAGTTAAATATCCTCGAATGTTTTGCCGGTAGAGACTTCTAAAATTTTTTTTTTTGCTGTGCAAAAGCACGAAGAGCTGCATTTCTGGAATTCAGAAGTTCCTTGGGGGAAACCCTAACAGGCTAACACAGGACGGAAAAGGCCCTATCAGGCCCCCAGCCACCCTCGAAGAGTCCTGGTAGGAGGATGCAACACCAGAAGAAGAAATTTGAGTGTTCAGTGCAGGATTTTAAGGAACTGGCTGTAGTTTCTGACAGTCTTACGGCCTTTTCAGGGATGCCCTTTATTTACTTTAGGAAGGCAATGAGGAGGAAAAAACACGGCTGGAACAAGCCATTATAACTTTGGGCTGCATCCTACTCACCACGCGTAGTTGTACGGCTTTGTTTTTAGGCCTTTGCTAACTTAAGCTGAGTACTCTCCTGCAATGGGTCGTTACCTCCGCCCTCTGCGGACACAAAGATGCTGTTGCTAAGTACCAGGTGCCACCCTCGCAAAAGGGCAAAGTGCAAGACCATGCAGAGCTGATGGTTATTTATTATTTTTGGAAGACAATGCCTCCAAAACAGTCTTTGTCATGTCAGAGGGCTGCGGCCTCAGCTGCAAATAAACCGTGGATGGCATTATTATAAGACTCCCATTTACCAAACAGGAAGAGGGTGTAGCCACCAAATTTGAGACACTTTCAAATTTCTCTGATTCTCCAAATGTGACTTTCAGAATAGCAATGACTAAAAAAGAGAACTGGATAAAGTATATATCCGTATCAGCGAGTCCCTGGCCACAATACCAAACAGAGACTCTGCAAGGCAGAGAGGTGCAGCTCACGCAGAGGCCAGGACCTCGGAGGACGACTGCAGGGGCAAAGTGTCCCGGCCTGACCTCCAGGGAGGAGACTCATCTCCCCAGCTGGCCTCCTGCTTCTGTGCTTTCTCAGCTCAGATCATTCTCTATTCACTACCCAGAGTCCAATTGTCAAGACACAGTGGGTCATGTGACTCCACTGCTCAGAGTTTCCCGATAGAGGTGTGAAAAAGCCCGAGGACCTTATCAAGTCTCAAAGGGCCAGCTGGGGATATATAGCTCAGTGGCACAAATGGCTGCCAGGCAAGTGCAAGGTTCTGAGTTTGATTCCCAGTACTAAAAACAAACAAACAAAACTCCCAGAAGGCCCTGCCTAACCTGACCCATTCACTTCTGTAATCTCAATGCTGACTACTTTTGCTAGTTCTTGCTTCATCTCTCTGCCCCAGGGCCTTTTCATGTGCACTTTCCTCTACCTAAGGTGTTCATCAGCCTTTTCCAGTACCAGCTCTATCTTTCCATTCCAGTCACCACAGAATGAGGGACGCTTCCCCCTCATCTCTCTCTTATCTGTCCTCCAAAGCACACAGCACCTTATGAAATGATTGTATCTGTCTGTTTCCATGTCTTTCCCATCATACCAGTTTCATGAGGGGGAAGACTTTGCCTCTGGCTTAGGGAGGTTTCTTGACAACCTGGCAGGGTCCTTGTATACAGTAGGTACTCAATATTTCCTTATTTCTTTTATGTATCCAATAAGTACTTACTGGCTATCTATGATTTACTACATGTGCTAAATACAGCTGTTGAGCAAAATGAGGGCGATGCAGTCCCAGCGCTCACACGCTGGCTGGAATAAGGAAGAACAGGTGAAACCTCTACTTTTCCCACTCAGGAACCTCTCAGGGCTCGCAATGCAATGGGAAGGTCAGCCAGCTAGGGTGACTTCCTGCCTTTCCCAGTCTCCAGGAGCAAGAGGAGACTTGAGGAGGATGCTGTCCCTGTGACATAGAAAACCCTGCTTTTTCATTAGGCAAGAGACACTCTGAAAGGGGAACACAAGGCAAAAAAATGAACTGGTTTGCACGCTGCTTAGAGACTTCAAGGTTTCTGGCATGTTGGGCCAGTGAGAAGTATTCATAGAAAACACCTAAATGATAATTCAAAAAAATGAATGAAACAAACAATTAAACCTGAATGCCCACACTGGTATTTGTGTCTGGAATTGCACTGCATTGGGTATCTACTGATCAACCATGTTGGAGATCGAATTTTGTTATTTACAATTAGCTGTTTCATTTCACTTAAAGCGAGGTTATTCCAAGCTCATTGTATTTATAATTTGAAGCAGGAAAAAGATTGGGTTGGGAGATGGCATTTCAATATTTTGCTAGTAAATATCACCAACCACAGGTAGGCATTTGGGGGAAACGCAAGCAATAGCCTAAAACATATCCAGTTTTAAAAAATGTAAATTGTTTTGCTGAGATACGGAACTTCGCTGTTTGCAAATTCCTGCCCCAGTGTGCCTGGTCGTCATGGCACCGGTCGGATTGTGCTGTGGTTTTCCCACACTGGAGCACACGAAGTCTCCTACCTTATGGGTAAGCACAAGAGACTGGGCATTGCACCTCTAGATGGAGAATTTTTAGTTCCCTACTAATGCGCAGTGAATCCAGGCGAATGATAACTTAAAATACATCAGAAAAGCACTGCCCAGACCGTGTATTTAACAAGCTAAGCCCCTGCCCAGGCTTACCGTTTCTATTCCACCCAGCTGGATCTCCGTGATGGCAGCATACAATTCTTTCCTGGAAAGCTGACTATGGCTATAAATATCACCGAGGAAATCTGTGCCAGGCTGCTGGGAATATTTCTCTAGCCGGCTATTGATACAAGACTTGACTATCAGAGAAAAGAAAATGGAGAGAGGAAGTCAAATGCAAATTAAGATAGAGAAAAAAACCCAAATCAGACCAAAATCTTTCTTGCAATATTTACAGAATCTTTTTGGGAACACTGACACTTGGCTAAATAAGCTAATAATGCCTTTTCGTGAAGCTGGCAAGCGTTTATCTGCTCCCAAGTGGACAAAGGCTTCTCAAATTTCCTTCTTAATATGCAGATTCTGAGCCAGGGGTGGGAGCCCAGAAGTTTGTGTTTCTAACAAGTCCCCAAGTGAGGCAGATGATGTGAGTCTAGGGTTATATTCTGAGTAGTGAGAGCTGAGTTTGGAAGAGCTCAGCGTGACAGAAAGTGGAAACTGGGTTCACATTCAGAAGCAGAACTTACCAAACGCACAGCCACCCAGCATGTGCGCGCGTGTGCGCACACACACACACATGTTCAGTCAAAGTGCTCATGCACGTTGACAATGGTAAACATTTGAGTGCTTATGAAGTACATTCTAGGCATGCGTCTCCTTCACTTGTACCCAGAGCAACCGCCAGACGTAAGAATAATGATGATGGCGATGGTAATGATGATCACACACCATAAGACAGTCATCACTTGAGTCCTGAAGCCCTTCCGCCTGGCCTCCACTCCCGGCACCACTGCCTGCCGGACGGAGGAGCCACTGAGGCAGAGAACAGTGACAGTAGGTGAGGCAGTGACGGGCTCCTTGAGGCCAGCATTGTTGCTCTCTAATTTTCAAGGCTGACTACTTTTTGGTTAGGTCTTATTTTGGGGGAAACTAGGTAGCAGAAGTAGCTCTAACCACTGAGATGCTGCGGCTGGTCAGGGATTTTGTATTTTCTAAAAACAGTTGCACTGAGGTAGGTGATATTAGTATTATTAATCCAACACAAGGCAACTAAAGATGAAATGGTGGTTCTACCCTGGGCCAAGCCACCATGCACAGAGAGCCCAGGAGGCTCTGACTCCAAAGTGCTCATTTTACCTTCCTTTAGAGGGCTGGGGATGTAGCTCAGTGGTAGAGGACTTGCCTAGCATGTGTGAGGTCCTGGGTTCCATCTGCAGTACCCTACAAATTTTTAGTTACCATTTTTATTTCCCAGAGAAGACTACAGAAATCTACTGCTCACCTTTCCATAGAATTCATCTATAATCCTATGTGCAAACCCGAAGAAGTCAGAGGGAGCAGCTCATTGGCAAGATTGAGGGGGTTAGACCAAGAAGCTCCTTTCAGACCTTCCCCAGCTATTCAGACAAGGCTGCTCTGATCGAGGCGGCCAGTGGTACCTGACTTGAAAATGGTGTCCCAGGCCAGAGTGTGTGTCTGCCAGACCTTGGTGTTGAGGCTCTTGTGCAGCTCGACCGGGGTGACCATCATCTTCCCAAAGGTGCTCATCATCTGCGGGAAGCACAAATGCCGTTTCATTCCCAGCTCTGTCAGAGTCTATGGTCACCCTGCAAGAGGAGCTTCCAAACTGCGGCTGAAGGCTGCATTCGGAGGACCCTCGGCCCTTCACTGCAGGTCCCAGGAGCAAAGCCCTCCTCTTTCCTCCAGTGGAATACTGAAAGTATGGATGTGCTTAATAAAAAGTGTTAGGACTTATAAACAAAAAAGGAACACCATGACTTCCATATTCATTTCAGGTTTTTTTTTTTTTTTTTTTTTTTTTTTGGTATCAGGAATCAAACTCAGGACCTTCTGCTTGCCAGGCAGGCACTTGTGCCACTGAGCTATATCCCTGGCCCCTCATTTCAATTTCTAATGATTTTCTAACCCTAGAATTTCTCAAATCAATGTAACAGTGTTTTTCATATCCACACACCATCTAGACCATTCTAATATTTAACACTTGAAAAATCTCAGAGACTTGCGAAATATTTTTCATCAACTGACTCTTAACTGGAACATTTAAAATAGGCATAAAATATAATTTTATTTCATTAAAGTACCCTTGTCTAACAAAGACAAAATGGATTTAACTTGCTTTTAATATGTGCAAACATGCACACACGCAACAAAATGAATGAATGAACGAGCGACATAAAATATGTGTGTACGAGACTTCTTGGAAGACACCAGGATGCACACTTGTTCAGATGTGCAAAGCGATCTCAGGAAAACCGAGCTAAAGGGGCGCTTACTGTTTTGATGGCCATGATGAAGTTCAGAGCTTCCTCTCCCACACTCTTCTGAAGGAGCCCAAATCTCTTCTCATACAGTATGAGGCAGATACCTGTTATTTAAGATAATCGTCACTGTTACACAACTGCCGCAGCAGGGCGTCTATGATTACCTGGCTATTAAAGACTTGCTTCTGTGTCTTGTGAAAGTGTGGTATTTTCTAAGAAAGAAAAGAAGTCCAAGAACATCAAGGAAAGACAAAAAGCCTGAAAGAAAGGAGCATGGACACTCTCTCCTCTTTCTTGGAATTATTTTCAGAAGCAGTGACCCATCCCCTAAGAATCTTCTTGTCACAGGGGCACCATCCTTGGTCATGTCCATCACACAAACATCTAGGTCAAGGATGCGCTTGGGTCAGCGCTCTGCCCTGCCTTTAGCTGGGCTGTGTTGCTGGAGTTCTGTGTTGGATTCTGCTGCCTCACATGGCCCAGGGGACGCCATCTTGAGAGGAAGCCACAGGGCGATTGCCACTGTAGGTCACCCCTACTTGCCGGGCACTGGGCTAGCACTTTATAGATGTTTTCTCTCATTTATTCACTTTATTTAGGCACAACATTTCAAAACATAAGATGATCAACTTTTATTTTAAAACTTTTCACCTACAGAAAAGTTGAAAGAATAGTAAAATATAAACACTTGTGTCCTTTGACCGCAAATCCAGTAGTCAATGTTTTGCCACAACTACTTGAGCTTTGGATATATGTATACAGATAAGTATGCTATGCTAAACCACTGGAACACACAATTTTCAGCCCCATCACACTTTATAATTGAATAATTTAGCAGTAAACTCCTAAGATGAAAGATATTCCCCTCTGTAACCACAATGCTTCTTAACTAACACCCCTGAGAATATTACCCATTTCATAATATATCTACTACATTTAAAAATTTCCCCCTTTGTCTTAAAAGTTACCTTCTATAATCATTTTCTTTTATGAGCCAGGATTATTACAAGCACTGTTTGATAGGTCAATAATTATTCTTTTTCTTTTTCTTTCTTTCTTTTTTTTTTTTTTTTTTTTTTTTTTGTCTTTTTGAGACAGGGTCTTACTATGCAGTTCAGGCTGGCCTTGAGCTCACTTTGTAGCCCAGGTTGGTCTCCAACTTGCAATGATTCTCCTGCCTCAGCCTCTTGAGTGCTGAGATTACAGGCTTGTGCCACCTCGCCTGGGGCAATAATTACTCTTGATTTACAAACTAGGATGCTGGATTTAGAGGGTGAATGACTAACCTAGAGTTAGAAAGTGAGAATCAAGAGTCAGTACACCTAGTCAGAGCAGCTCGGAGGCTTTACTGATGGCACCTGTATTTCCTAAACTCCACTCGCCCCGGTCAGCCTTTCAAGGCTGTCCATGTTTTTATTCCACAAGGTGCAGGATGCATAGCACTAGGCATGCGTGCGACAGCTCTGGGTGGTCTGGGGACGGTTACATTTTAAAAAGGCTTTCTCATTTTCACAGTAATCGACTTACGGCCGTGCTTCCGACTTCGAGTTTAGGAAAATGTTAGAAGTTTTTCCTCAAGGTAGAACAATGATTTAAAATGCTTCATACCTGAATAGTGGTAGGCAGTCACAGAAAATACTATGAAGTGTACATGAACATATAAAGTTTGGAAAATGCCTATTTACCGGACGATTATTGCTTTAAAAAAGCATAGTAAAATTAAGATAATACTTTCTTATTTATGAATACCTAGGTTTAATAGCTAATTGGCCCCCATGGTAAAACACATCCAAAAGCACATTTTTCCCTTTAATAATGGATTACAGTGCAATGGAAGTAGGAGAGCTGATCCCTCTGCAGGTTCAGCTGCCCTAAAACCAGTAAGTACAGGTAGAATGAAGCCCGGGGCGCTGTTTTTCCAATTGTGGTGAATTTGGGGGGTGCACTTTGCAAATCGAATCCATAAAATTTTCCGCAGCACAAAGGCGGCATTCTTTCTATACGGATGCATCTCTCCCGTAGCATCTTGCTTTCACGAGAGTGTGCGATTGGTGTCATGCGTGGCAGACGTCCTTAACAGTCCACCCAAAGTTCATTCTTCCTCATTCCTTCCACGAGAGCCCTGATTATATTTAGGGTGTCACTGTCGCCATCCTCAGGCGAGAGATCAGGACTGATTTAGGACTGAGCCTTCTCTCCGACTCACAAGCTAAGGGTAGACCAGAAAAGGCTGGAAAGTGCTCGGTCCCTCAACACTAGTGCCCACGCCGCTGTGGCCCGCCTCCCTCAAGGGCTCTCCCAGTGCTGGGTGACAGTTTCTAATTCACTGCAGTCACTTTTTTTTTTGGCTGGCAACTAAGTGCTTCTTATCTTCCTTAATCTGAGTACTTCCAGTGGACAATTTCCAAAGCATACACTTCTTTCCTTGTTTATAATTGTTCCTCTCTTCTCCACCTCTTTCCCTTGGTGCCTTCTGTGGATTTCTTTTTTTTTTTTTTTTTTTTTTGGTTTTTCTCCGGTACCAGGAACCGAACTCAGGACCTTGCGGTTGCCAGGCAGGCGCTTTTGCCACTGAGCTAAATCCCTAGCCCCTTGGATTTCTTACTTTTGCGGGATTTTCTATCTTCACTCTAAGTGAGGTTGGGTCTGATGGAGCCTTTCTTTGGGGCAGCCCTTCCCCAACATTTCTCCACTAGCCGCCACAGCGATCCAGCTATTCTGAGCATGACAACCCCTGTTAAACACACTCCGCCAAAGCTCCCCGCTGCTCCCCGCTCAAATCCAAACTCTGTCTCTGGCTTATAAGGCCTTCCAGGAGATGGCTACTGGTTCCTTCCCTTGCTCTGTCCTTCCCACAGTCTGCTCTACAGGACACGGTCCTCCAATCCAGAGCTTCTGACTGTCCCTTCAGCATCCTCCTCCTCAGTCCTGGAACATTCCCCCTTGCTTCGCTTTTCACCGGCAACTCCCTGTCGTGTTCCTAGTACATGGCACTGTGCCTGGCACATCACAGGTGTTCAAGAGATGTTCACTGAATGACTTCATAAACAGTCTTAGGGCAAAGCACAACCTAAGCACCTAGAAGAAGCACTGAAAGAACGCACGTGGACTTCTCTTAGTTGGCAATAGCATGCATCATTACGGAAAACTGTCAATAGAGTTGCACTTTATCCCCAAAACCACTTGCAAAGTTAAGTGCATCAGATTGTGAAGACAACTCACTTTCAAATGACCATTTGTTCAGTTCGCTGTACAAGTCTGCAATGTGGCCTCTTTCATCGAGGAGTTCGTCTATTCTACCCATAAAGTCAGCCAAGACCTTAAAAGAAAGCAACAGGAAAAGACACATTTTAACATCAGGAAAGGAGAATAAAAGTTTTAAGCAGTGAGCTGACAGAAGGGTTTGCTGCATTGTATATTCACCACCCTGAGTGTTAGTCATTGCAAAGCAGCACTAATTATACATTGTCCTTGGCAAGCCACCTTGTCCCCCCACGACCTTGTCCTGGGTGGTGTCCTGAGCTCTTCCTGCAGCCACTGTGAGGCTTAAGTTTCAGTTTTTGATCTAAAAGTGATTCTGGCAATTTAAGAAAAGAAAAACATTTCTTCTGATCGAATGGGGTGGAGGGGGAATGAATCACAAGGAAGGAACCAGCCGAGTTGACACAGCAGGTGGAGGATGGTGACGCTGTCACTATCCTGAGGTTTGCACTTCCCTTCCATATTGGGGTGAAAACACAGCATTTTGTTGGTTACTTGTTTTGGTTAGGGAACCAGATCTGCAAATTTCGTATGCAACTTGTTCCCTGAATAGTTCTGTGATCCTCGAGGCACCTAAGTCCTTAGATGCTGGTTTCAGCAACCAAAGTTGTAGATGACTAAAGTTTCACATGTAGTGAGGTCAAAATAGAACCGTGCACAGAGTGTAATATCTTCACTGGTCCTCATGGCAACCCCACGAGGCAGTAGGTACTGCTCCATTCTTCCACTTAAGAAATGAGAAAATGAGGCATAGAAAGGCTAAATCACTCATCCCTGGAAATATAGTTGATAGCTTGCCATGTGGGACCCTAAAACGGAATGTGTGGCTTTAAAGCCTGCACCATTAACCAATATCCGGTTTAACTTGCTCACATAGTGCCTTGGAGAAGTATTTTAAATTTGTTGCTATTACAAAATCATGTGAGATATCATGTGATACATGGATTTACCACTACCTATCAAAGTAATAATAACAGTGGGATTATTACAAGGTAACACTGGTTGTACATTCCCACATGGTAGTAGTTTTCTGGGTGTGGGGCAGGTGTCCCCTCCAGGAAGGGCACACACAATTCTGTTTTCTAAAGTCCTTACTGTGCTGTCTTGTTATTTTATATTAATTATGTAGCCCTCAGAAGCTTCCAAGTTTGTAATCCCTCATCTATATGAACTAATCTGGGTCTGAGACCAGTTCAAAATAAACATTCTGCCTGAAAGAATAAAATGAGATTACCACTTCCTGCAAACCATCCTGGGCTATAGAATATTGTCCAAATACTTGAGCATGGCGCTCACCTTGCAAAGATCTCATTCTCCACATGCACTTCAGGGGGACCCTCACCTCAGCTCCACTGAATGCTGACTCTGAACACATCACGCCATCTCACGCGTCTGTGTATTCAGCCTATTATGCTCTCTGCTGGAATGCTTTTCTCCACCTTGCCTTGTAGACTCCCGCTCATCCTGCTAAACCCAGCTCAGATGTCATCGCCGAAGAACTTCACAAACATTTTTTTAATCTGATCTTTACAGCAAACTGGTGAGATAGGAACTGTGTTCCCATTTTAAGATTGAAAAACTGAAACTTAGGGAAGCCTGGTGTTGGTACAGTCAGGCTCTTAGGTAGTGGATAGAAGGCTGAGCGTCAAATCCAAGACTGAAATAATAAAGTCGGTGCTCATAACTGTTCCTTCACTGCAATATTACTTTAAAAGGGATTAAAGGAGACGGAAACAAGGGTTTTGAGGAAGAAGGAGCTGGAGTGAAATGGAGACAAAGAGAAGACCCTTGATTCACCCCAATTGCATGGTTTTCCTTCTATAGCTTAAAGGTGTAACTTGAAGGTCCCCTAGCAGCCTGTCTTCAAGAGACCCAGGAAAGCTGATCCCCGTCTGCAAACCTCATTGATTTTGCTGTCCAGCTTCATAATTTCCACCGGTTTCATTAATTTCTTTTGAAAAACACTCCGGACCCTCTGCCAGTCTTCTCCTTCCCTGGGGAGAGGAAAGATGATATGAAGAACAAAGGAAGAGAAGAGATCTCTCCTGCTAGAACTTCGCGAGCCAGAGAGCAAATGAGCTCTGGAAATCACACCCAGAGAATATTAGCGTTAGTGTTCAGGGCTGCGTTGTCAATAGGACCTATCCAAAGCACTGTCCTGTTAATCTAAGATTGTACGGGAAGGGTGAAGCCCATATTGAATGGGTTCCTGGTTTCTGATGAGCTCTCTCTGGGGTAGAGGCCTCAAATCCCAGCAAAAGAGCAGACATGTGAATATTCCCTTGTCACACTGGGGTTTGTTCGAGGAGAAACTTTTTTCAACTTACGGAGTTGGACGTCACAGTTAAAAAAAAACCCAAACCCTTCAATTTGCAATTTTGCCATTTGCTCGTAATAATAATGTTCGGAGGGCGAGCAGGAGTTGCGGGCGCAGTACAGCAGTCTCCTGGACCCAGTCACGTCCGCACCATTGCTCAGGACGGCACCTGCGCTGAGTAGGGGCTTTGGTACCGTCCTGCCTAAGAGACGTTCGGCCCCAGGACGCTTACTCGCGCCCTTCCCGACTTCCAGGTTTCTGGCCGGACCTCCCCTCCCCGCCGCCTGCAGGCCGGACTCACAGGATCATCAGCCCGTAGCCCTCCTCGCGATAGTCGCGATAGACTTTCCACGGTTTGATCTCCAGCCGCTGCGGACAAGCGCTCTCGGTACGGTACAGCCCTTCCAGCAGACTCGGCGAGCCCAGGTGCACCGAGTCGAAGGAGCCCAGTTTCATCCGGAATATCTTGCCATACTTCTTGTGGTACTCCACCTGCGGCGGGAGGGCGCGCGGTGGAGTCAGCCAGCATCCCCGGCAGGCTCCGGGGCGCTTCTGCCTCTCCGCAGCCGCGCGCACTCAGGAGCGCCCCGTGCGCCCCGCGCGCCTGCGCTGGGGGGAGTGTGAAGGCCACCCGGGCGCAGAGCGGGTAGCAAGAGGAGTGGGGGTATTTACCAGAGTGTCGTGCTGTTTCTTCAGGCCTCCTTTCCAGAGAATCTGCAGCAGACTGCCCAGCAGGGGCCAGTTGGTGGGACCAGGCAGGACTGCCGCGCTCTGCGTCTCGCCGGGTGCCATGGGCGGGAAGGGGGGCACCTCCTGCAGCGGAGGTGGCGCCCGCGTCCTGGATGTCACAGGTCTCAGGGGCTGCTGGAGGCTACACAGCCGCCGCGGGAAGGCGGCCAGAGAGCGGCTCTTGCGCACAGGGCAGCTCATAGCAGCGGGAGATGCGCGCAGGGGAACGGTGCAGCGCGGGAGGAGGCGCGGACGCAGGCTGGGGCTTGCTGGTGCTAGGAGGCAAGCAGCGCCCGCAGGTGTGACCGAGGGGACGGGCAAGCAGAAAGCAGCAGGGGTTTAGGCGAGGATGCTCCACGACCGGACCCGTGCAGCGGCCTCGGAGCGCAGCCGACCGCCGCGTGGGGCTGCGGGGTGGAGGAGCGGCCGGGGTTTGGCTGCTGGTGGCCGGGGAAGGGAGGCCCGGGAGTCCGCCGGTCGGTCGGCACGTCGGGCTGCTCGGGCCGGAGCTGCGCGGTGGAGGTGGCAAAGGGCGGCAGGGATGCTGCGGACGCTGCGCTGCGGGCCGCTCCATGCTCTCCCGCCGGGACCGCGTATTTATCGGACGGAGTCGCCTCTGGGCGGCCAATGAGCACCCAGGCTGCCAGCCCCTGGGACGGGGACGCAGGGGGTGGTGGAGAGGATGGAGTCAGCGAGGTGAGCGAGGGCGCCGGCCGGGTGACCGCTGCGGGCGGCTGAGCGGGCGCCGCGGACTCCACCCTGAGATAGCCCGGGGCGCAGAGCAGTTCACCGGGTTTGGGCCGCGCCCCGCCCTCTCCGGAGGCCAGCAGCCGGCGCTTGCACAACCTCGGCGCTGGGCGGGCCGGGTCCCCGGGTGCGCGGAGGGGCGGAGCGGGAGATCTGCCGAAACGCACCCGAGAGGGGCTCCGCCTTCCGGGGTAACGAGGGCGAGACGGGTCCGTTGCGTTTGTAGGATTTCCCGTCTGGCTGCTTTATTTGGATTGTTGAGAGGATGCGGTTAGTGAGTAAATGCAAACCGCCCACGAGGGGGTCTTGCGGTGGTCAACGCTCAGTAAAGAATCCCCATCTTTGGGGGCTGGGGATTTAGTTCAGCGGCAAAGCGCCTGCCTGGCAAGCGCAAGGTCGTGAGTTCGGTTCCCGGTACCGAAGAAAAACCAAAAAAAACCAAAAAAAAAAAGAATCCCAGTCCCTGCGGTTAGGGGGCGCCCCATGGGGACGGGGCGTGCAGCACCGCGCCGAAATTCCGGCTGGGCTCGAACCCTCTTCTTGACCCAGCCACCCTGCTTTCGGGTCACTTGACTGGCAGAGCCTTCCCTGATGTCTCCTGGGAACAGTTTGTTTCTTGAAAACTTTCGTAGTCCAACACGAGCTTGAAAGCTACCGTTGCAGATTTTCCTTCGACTTTAGTGAATAATAGCTATCTATCTATCTATCTATCTATCTATCTATCTATCTATATCTAATGTAACATACCTTTAAAAATATATAGGAAAAAAGAAAAAAATTGTAATCCAGTGCGAACAATGTATCTAACAGTGTACCTTAACTTTGTGCAATTGTCCTTTTTTTTTTGTCTTTCTGAGACAGGGTCTCGCTATGCAGTTCAGGCTGGCCTTGAACTCACTTTGTAGCCCAGGCTGATCGTGAACTTGCAGCACATTAGTCTGATTTTCAATCTGTATGTATTATAATTAACTTTATAAGGTTTTATAAATAAATGAATCTAATACTGGAAAAATAAGAGGGGAAGGAGAGAGTAAAAGAAGGGAATTAAAATATGTACCAATCCCGGCACTGGGGATTTAGGTCAGCGGTACAGTGCCTGCCTGGCAAGTGCAAGGTCGTGAGTTCGATTCCAGGTACCAGAGAAAAACACAAAAACAACAAAAAAAATGTGTACCAATCCCCACAGTGAATGTAATCATTATGCTCTGCAACATGTATTAATAAAAGTGGGAAAATATGCAGATGCATTGTGTATTATATAGCATATACTATAGATTTATATAGTCTAATATGTACTACTTTATATACTATGTAGATTATAAACGATGTTTATGTACCGTATGTTAAATAGTACACAAATGAACTCTTTCTAAGGCTTATGATAAACTAGACACAGCGCTAGATAATTTTTGTTTTACAGTCTTGCTAATTTGCTCAGTCTGACTTCAAACTCATAACCCTCCTACCTCAGTCTCTGAGTAGCTGGAATTTCAGGTAAGAACCACTATGCATGGTTTAAACTGGAATGTTTACAACAATTTCCCCATTTTGTTTTTGTCATCTCAGCCCAATGTCAACAACAGAAAGCAGATGCAAACACAAAACTTCCTAATGTTTAGAGTTAGATAATTTCCCCAGTGTCCTAGACATTATTCATGGCCCAGGAGGGGTTGACACTGAGTCTTTTCTGATTCCAGCCTGAGCCCTTTATATAAATACCCATATACATCATGTCATTTTGTATCATCTTTTCTAAACAAAAGTATCTCAGAACATTGGAAATATTCCTAAATGAGCATATTTCCTAGAGGGGTGGGTAGGATCAGAATGACTACCATAACCCGTATTTGGTGGTGCTGGGGTCTTGGTACATACGTTTCATATGCTGATGGGCAATATGCTGAAGGAAAACAGCCTGAGAGAGACTTGCTCAGTTCACCTCTGTGTGCCTTCCTTGTGCCTGGATGTAGTAAATGCTGCATAAGCCGTGCTCTGATGAACCATGGCTCACGGCTGTTTCAGCTGGTGAGTTATTCCCTCAGCCTTTGTTTCCTTTCTCTCTCAGCAGGGTCAGATGTACTAGGCTTTCCTCTGGGCTTAGTGCTAGGTTGCTTTAGGTGTTCTAAATAGATACTCAAAGCACCAACCAGTAGCTAGAATAGCCAGTAAGAAAATTCAGAGAAATTGGTTTCTCATGTGCAGTAGAGAAAGTCTTTAGTAATTTTAACACTGGGATGCGGAGGAAAACACGATCAATTCTTTGAAAGCCCATTGACTCCAACCCATATCCACCCCTGACAAGGTGCAGTTAAGTTAGAAATGATTATTTTGAGCCCACCCCTGGAAACTCATATTGCATGGTTTCTTTTACATGAAAAACACAAATAAACAGCGTAATAGAACAGCAATAAATGGAAACTGGGAGAAGTTCAAATACTTCACCAAATTGAAAACTCCTTTGTTTTAAAAATATTTCAATATATATATGCTCATTGGTTGCTCTTGTACTAGTTTAACTTAGTTCATTGGAAAGATTCATGTTATTATCTGTTTCTTTTTCGTAGGAATCTTTTCGGTTTATCTTGTACTCTCAGTAACTACTCTGCAGATAATGATACACAGTATAATAATTACTGTCATTCTCTTACTATTTGATTATGAAATTTCATTTTTTTCATAAAATGAAAAATTTTAAAAAGTGGCAATCTTGGTAGTTCCCAGTCCATAGTGTTTTCCTGAGGATGACAAAACCCTGAAAGTCCCTGGCATAACGTCATAGCAGTAACTGTCGTTAAGAACTACAGATACCGGGCCCTCAAATAATTAGGATCATAATAGCTATTGCCTTCTCAGGGAGCACTCTACCCAATTAGACAGCCATCCTTAAAATTACAGGCATTGTCTCTTTGGTTTTTGTCCCTTCCAGAACATGTGACACCATGCTGCTTTTGTTGGGCAACACCCAATAAACAAGTAATAGGCAGTTGATTATTGATTATTTCCTCTTTCCCAAGTGAAAAAGAAAATATCCAGTGCCAGCGCTACCTTTGTTTTCTGCGGATGTTATTGGCAAATCCTGGAGGACTTCCTCTGGGTGTCTTACAGAGAGCAGTCCTACTGGACAAAGATCGTAGTCCGAGTCTTAAAGGCTTGGGTTGAAACTTGGCTTCATTGCTCAGTAACTGTGTGGTCTTGGGTGGGTTTTTTAGGTTCTGTGAGCTTTGTGGTCTCACTGGGAACACTGGAAGTTAGTACAGTAAGCCCCTGACTTATGAATGAGTTCCGTTCTGGGAGAACTGTTTCTAAGTTTGGTTTGTTCATAAGCTGACAAAGTCAGGCTTACACAGGATACCTGTGAAAGTCTGTAACTTGAATGTTAGTAAACCATAGAGACTTACCGTACAACCATGTTTTAAGAAAGGGAAGAGGAATATTTAAAGTCTCAGGTGAAACACAACCAGTATCTTCACAAAAACCCATCCATCCTCTCTACTTGCTTGATGAATCCTGAGCAGAATTTGCTCATGTTGGTAAATTAAAGTTTTATTACAATATGGAAAAAAAACTTAAACCTTCCAGAAGACAGTATATAGCGAAGGTTTTCAGATCCTTCATTAAAAGAGCTGCTCCATTTTGCAGGAGATGAAAAATACAGTGTGTATATCCAAGTTAACAAATTGTGTTGCCCTTACAGTACTGAGGACCTCCTGTGTGTGTGTTGGACATTTTACTATCTGTACCCTAACAACAATGGTGTAAAGTATTATTTCTCATTTTACAATGATGAAATCTCACTTCCTTACACACTTTTAGCCAGACCTGGATTTGAATCTACCCTACTATACATCACCACTACAACCACATTAGCTTACTTTATCCTCATCTATCAAATGGGAACAATAATACTGGCTCTTATATACAATTGCATTAGTATAATTATAATAATATTATATAGTTACTCTAACGTGTCTTAAATTCTAGTTGTCTTTAGGGTATCACCTCCTTGGTGCAGGAGAGCTGTCCTTTTGGCTACCATATTTCTGGTATTTGTAAGTAGGCCTGGATCAATTTAAATGGCTCAATAAATATTTTGCAAGTACCGTAATACATTGCAAAAATAACAGAGTAAATGCTTTTTTTGTTATAGCTGATTCTATAGTTACAGTGAAACACAGTGCCTGATAAAAGTTGGGTCTAATTATAGATCTTATATAAAGAGAAATGATGTCTTTTTCCTTTTATTTTTTGAAGTGTCTAGAGAAGCAGAGATCTGTGTGAAGAAGACATATACTCTTAAGCGACAGATTTTCTTCATATTAACGGACTGGCCTAAATGAATTTGTGTGTGTAAAATATTTTGAAGAGTGTTTTTTTAATCTGGTAAACACTTAGCGTTACCTATTACCAATAATTTTGGAAGATACAAATGTCACTGATCCAGAGTCCAGTTAAACCAGCCAATGAAAAGATCCATGGATTTTTAAACATTCCATTGATACCATATAGGCTTCATAATTAATTTTTAACGTTACATCACCACATAGGTACCTATTCTATGCTTTCTCGCATGATACAGCTTGGCTAATTCCATTAGGGTGAAATTCAGGGAAATTCCATGTCAGCATTACGATGACCAGTTATTTTGGATGCAAAGTACAGTTTGTTTTGTTCCAGTGTATCAAGAGCCTGCCTGACACATCTTAGACGGCTGCTGACGTGAACTGGGCATCGCTGAGTGTTGACTCCACTTGGCAGAGCTTTAACGTGAACCGGGAAGTGCACACCTTGCCAAGTGATTGGCACCTGGAGGACCTGCTAGGAAGGATCTCCGTGGTGAGGGTGGGTGAGCTGCAGAGGAGCGAACACAGGTATCTGGTTGTCCATGATCATAAGGTGGGTCAACTGGATGTTTACCAAGCAAAACATTTCTAGAAGAGTCCCTTTGTCTGCAGGAGGAAAAAGAAAAGGGTTTAGTTAGTGGAGCACTTCTGCTGCCTTTATATAGTAGCAACTGTGAAGCAGTCCCCACCAAATACAGGGTTTTTTTTTTTTTTTGTATTTTTGAGACAAAGGCTTGCTATGCAGTTCAGGTTGGTCTAGAACTCACGTTATAGCCCAGGTGGGCCTCAAACTCACAACAATCCTCCTGTCTCAGCCTCCCAAGTGCTGATATTTCAGGTGTGTGCCACCATGCCCGGCTCACAATATGCATTTGATTGCATGATTTTCCACCCATAGTGAGTAGCCACTGCAGCTTCTTGTACCAACCATGTTTCAGACACTCAGGAGGAAGTTACATCTGGTCCTATTATGACTTGGATGGAGTAATTGGGGATCTTGTATGTTACATGAATACTCAAAGATTCCTCTGGAATAATGAAATTTTCCATCAAAATACTTGAAATTGAATTTAGAGATTTCTTCTTCTTCCTTTTTCTTTTCTTTTTTTCTTTTTTTCCCACCTTGTCCAATTAGAATGGGATTCCTTGAAAGTGTAGTCATTCTATCAGTGGCTGTTGAGCACCTGCTATGTGCCAGGCACAATTCTAAGTCCTCGGGATAAAATGATGAATAAGACAGGCAAGGCCTCTGCAAGCATAGAGCTCACATCCTTCTGGAGAAGGTGGGTAACACAGCTGTAAACCAAAGACAGTATCATTTCAGACAGGCATAAGACTTACATTTGAGTTCAGACTTCAATTCTCATGGTCATTGTGAGGAGATCCTGGAGAAAGAGAGGCAGGGGCTGATGAGCTTGGCAGCCGGAGGCTTTAGGAGACCCTTGCTGATGATCACACCAAGGGTTCTGATCAGAAACATAAATACACTTTCTTCATCTTAAAGACAAACGGACAGCATTTCCTACTATTATCTCTGAGCCTAATAACCAAATGGCTCCTGGTTGCTGTGCTCTCACATTGCAGAGGTGTGGCTGGCCTCAGGACCCCCTTGACTCCCCACCATTTTGGACATATTATTGTGTCTTTTTTTACACCATGGGTTGCACTGGAAGTGGTAGATTGCTTACAAATCCAATAGAACTTCTCTGCCTGAGCCTTCAAGGCATGATATTTTTCAGAGGTCAGTGCCTGTCAGCATTGAATAAATCTACTTCCATATCCTGAGTGACGTTTCAGTGTTTCTGCTTGCCTCTGCATCTGGTTTGTTGGCTGCAAAGACCAACTGTGCTGACCTCTTTGGTCGCTGGTTGTGGCCCTTGCGGATGGAGCAAGGACCTCTTTAGGTCTCGATGGGAAGGTGGGCCTTCGAGATTTCTCAAGTTTCCTTGGGGGTCTGGAGGAGGATCCCTTGCTGCCCTTTGGAGTGGCTCACGTTGGATCCCAAAGGGAGCATGATGCAGTCTGCTTACTTGCCTGCTTGCCAGACCTCAGAAAGACCCCCAGGGACACACGTTTCCGTCTGTACCTGCTCAGTGTGAGCAGAAGGACAGCTTGATCACCTCTCATTGGTTAGGCCTCCCCGTGGTTTGGGGGAGGGAATGTTTTAACCTCTGAGCACCTGTTGAATGATTGAATGCTTGTAATGGACAGTGAAAGCAATGCGCCATGCCGTCTGAGCTCCATGGTGAGGAGGAAGGATTCTTCTCCAAACTATGGTGCTTGATTTGGCCCCAACCTGTGGTTGCTAATAAGGACAAAAAGGCGAACCTACTGACACTTCTCCATAGTCTGGACAGTCCCAACGTTGCTGAGAGGCAAGGGGCCAGGCAGGCATCTGAATGGCTTCTCTCTCTGAGGGGCACCCACCCTTTGTCTGTTGCACCATCATTCGAGGGTAAACCACATACACATAGAGAGTCAGAAATGAGAACTAATTAGTCAAAACCCATGGTCCTTGATTGCAGGTCCAAGAATTATAAAAAGGGCTTTTCTGGTGATTACAGAGTGGAAATAAAATAAAACTGCTGCTCCCTGAGCTTGAACAAGACCTGACAATTCCACTGTGGCAGATGCCACTGCCGCTCTCACTGGGCTAGCTCTCCAGCCAGCAAAAAGAAACAAAGCACTCCAGTCAGTGCTTCTCAGAGACATCAAAGAGAGGGGCAAAAAGCCCAACAATACATCAAAAGTTACCACTGTTACCCAAAGCCTAATGAAGCTCTTACCAATATGCAAGTTATAAGGGCTATGGACACTAAAAAATAAATGCCCCTTCAGATTAAAAGATAAGGTTCTCAAAAGCTTCAACCTGGATCAGTGACAACCCTTTCATCATGCTGATAGGCTCAGACTAGGTTAGACTTGGCTTCCTTCTTCAGCTGGGCTACAGGAAGCCCACAGTCCATGTCCATATTGAGGGCCAAACCTACGACTTTCCTTGTAGACAGTGGAACAGAACTCTCTGTAGTTACTCAAAAGTCCCTTCTCTCAGAAAACAGTTACCATTACCAGGGCAACTGGGACTCTTGCCTCTCGCCCCTTCTGCCAGGCACCACTTGCAGCCTGAGAGGACATCTCACCAAAAGTGAATTCCTGTCACCAGGCCAGCCAGCCTCCCTCTCTCTCTCTCTTTTTTTTTTCCCCAGTATTGGGAATTGAACTCACGACCTTGTGCTTGCCAGGCAGGTGCTGTGTCGCTGAGCTGCACTTTCAAAATTGGTCCTAACTCTGATTGTTCCTGAAGAGGAAGAATGATGCATGCATCAGCCCGAGAGAGATAATCACAATCCTGAAATTCTGAAAACTCCTCCCAGAGGTATGAGCAGAAGACTCACTTCTGGGCCGGGCTATCAATCGTGCTCCCATATCCTATGTCATGAGAAGCACAAACAGGCATCCAGCCACACATCAGCTGCCTAAAGCAGTTTGGGATGCTGGTAGACTGTTAAGCACCTTGGAATACTCCTCTCCTCCTGGTAAAAACACCCAGTGGTGATAACCAGCCGGTGCAAGATCTCTATGCACTCAACAATGCAGCCATCACTGCACACTCTGTGGTTCCTAGCCCATACACCCTTCTTGGACTGCTATCTCCAGATGCCACATGGACTACATGTCTAGATTTAAAAGATGCCTTCTTCTGCTTGCAGGTTGCTCCCATAAGCCAAACCTTTTTGCCTTTGACTGGGAAGATCCTGAGACAAGATGAAAAGGGCCAGCTCACTTGGACTCAATTGCCACAAGGGCTTGGGAACTCTCCCACTGTTTTGGGGGAGGCTCTGGCAACAGATTTGGCCCCTCTGAGACAGCCTGTTTCTCTGTCCCTTCCAGCTCCACTGTGGTCCCCCTAGTAAACAGTATGACCTGGACTCAACCTCACAGAAAACTTGCTTACCTTCTTTAGATAAGCCCCCACAGCTGACCTATGATTAATAACACACAAGCTGCCTGCTAGAAAGGCATGAAAGCTCTACTGCAATATTTGGAAGGAACTGGATATAAGGTATCTTAGGAAAAGGCATAAATCTATAAAAAAAAGGTCAGATATCTGGGACTTCAAACAGGGACACCAAGTCGTTAAACCAAGAAGAAAAGCAGTCATCTGCTCCCTGAGTTCAAAGATGCTTACTCTGACTGTCAGGCTCTGGGAGAGCCCAGTGGCCTGCCTGTGCAAACACTTGGATCCAGTCACTAAGGGCTGCCTCTCCCTTTGCCTCTGCACTCCAACAGGCTCTGTCCTTCTGATAAAACTCACCTTCTGACACACTCACCTTAGGCTGAGACCTAACTGTCCAGGTGCCATATGCTGTGCTAGACCTCCTAAATAACCACGGTTCCTATAACTGGGTCACCCGGTATTAAAAATTGTCATGCAAAGTCCTCTCCTGACTCTGGTGAGGATAACCTTAATCCTGTCATGTACCTGCTCACCAAGCTGGGTCCACCAGACCATGACTACCAGGCACTAACTGATAAGCTGTTCTTGAGCTGACTGGACTTAAAAGTGAACCCCCGACAGATGCTGAGTACACCCTGTTTATGGATGGAAATAGCTCTGTTAGGAATGGAGTCCAACAGGCTAGACATGCTGTGATCACCTTGGACAAAGCTATTTTGGCCAAGGCTGTCCCACAGGGATGGCCCACACAGCAAACTGAACTATGGGCCCTCATGCAGGCCCTCAATTGGTCTAAAAATGAAAAGGGCTACTGCTTCCTGCTGCTGTCTGGAAACTTGCCAAAACAATAAAGCATCCCAAGCCACAAAGAAAAATGCAAAACATCCCATGCATGGCCAGTATCTGCTCCACTGTCTGTCAATGGGGCCAAACCTGTACTCAAAGCAGTCCAGTCCAGAATCCTAAGTGCCCTCTGTGAATCCAATTGACTGAAACATCACCTTTTAAAAACACTGAAGTAAAGCCTTAAAAGGGCTACAGATATCTTTTGGTGCTTATATGCACTTACTCAGGCTGGCCAAAAACATTCCCTACCAACACTGAGAAGACAACAGAAGTTTGTAGGGTCCTGCTGTAAAAAAATCATCCCTAGATATGGCCTGCCCTTGATTATTGGCAGTGATAACAGGTCTGCATTTATAGCAGAGATAACTCAAAATTGGCAGAACTATACAACATATAGGCCAGAAAACTCTAAAAGAGTTAAAAAAAACAAAAACATAATCCTACAGGAACAGCTTGTAACCAGCTCCATAAAAATTTAGCTAAAAGACCAACTATACCTGTAGACATCCCTGCACACACATATTCTGTAACATTACACTTGCAACCCAGGTGCATATTAACTTCCTCTAGAAGTTTCAGAAATCCAGCCTTAGATCCCCCATTCCAGAGTAAAAAGAGCCCATCCAGATGATTGGTGGAGAATCTGCCTGGACCAGACAGCTCCTCTGAAGCTCACTGTGAAAGGCCAGGCACTCAAAGACCTGTTCTGGTCATTCTGGATGCTGACTAGTTTATGCACAGCTGAAGCTTGAGGACACTGTTCACAGGATTGCTTCATACCTCAGTGCATTGCTCTCCTTGATTTTTGTGCCTTTTTCAGGCTGCTTATCCTTCTATTTCAGCTTGTGTACATGCTTGATATTGTATTGTCCAACTTGGGTTTTGCTTCCTACTCTCCTGCTAGATGTGGTTTTCGCCTTAGCTCAATGGATGATTACCCCAAGACAAGAGAAAACAACCAGTAAGGCCTGTCCCCTTATTCTACAAATGAACAAGATTTGATGAGCATCCAAGGCACAGTGGCCATGCTCCAGGGTCAAACTGACTCCCTTGCCAGAGTAATGTTACAGAATAGATAGACCCGAGCCACAGCTCTTTCTAAATGCAACTTAGGGAGTGACCCTGTAATAAGGAGAACAAACCATAAATTCCTGCTGGGGAGCATTTCAATCTTGGAGACCTTAGCTAGTTCCCCTCCTAGGACCACTGACAGCCCTAATGTTACTGCTTCTAGTTGGGCCTTGTTTCAGAAGATCACATATAATGTGTCCAGCAAAGATTTTCTGGGATACTAAAAGAGGGAGAAATATAGCAGAAAATGCCCTCCCCCCGCCAGTACACTTCAGTTCCTGTTAGTTGCCCAGGTAACCTCCAGTCTACTTCAGTTCTTGTTTCAGTTCCGTTATTTTTGGTTCTTGGAAATGGCTGTTCACTGTGATGCACAGCTGGTCACTATGATGCATATTGTAAGAACCAACCAATAACTGCCAAATACTCTGCTCCTTTCTTGCAAACCCCATAAAAACTTCCCTCCCTGAGCCTTCAAGGCCTGACATGTTTTAGAGGTCAGTGCCTGTGGATGTTAACTAAATCTACTTCCAAATGCTGGGTGATATTTGGTGTTTCTGTTTGTACTGTACTAGCACATATGTGAAGATTTCTAACTGTAAGACAACAAGGGATTTCCCCAGCAATTACTTCTTTACCCAGTCAGTGGGAAAGCTGGGTGGATGCATTGAAGTTAAAGAGTTGGACTGAGTCCTATGGTATGTCTTAAGGGAAGTCAGAAGTGACTGCACTTGACACCTAGCTCTGTTAACTTAAGGCCACTTCAGAGAAATCTGACTCCAGAACAATCCAGCTTACCACCCTCCTTTTCTCTGGGCCCTTGATTTCTTCTCAATCTCCTTGAAAAGAGTTCCCTATGAGTAAGACTATGAGACGGGACACAGCCTCTGCCCTGGCTTTTGGGGAAGTCTGCTAGTTTCTGCTTGAATTTTCCTGTAATTCTCTCACCAGCAAGACCTTGTCTCTGATTCTCATAGGGAATTATTGGAAGTATGTCTAAGGTGTTCAAGAAAGTGCAGTGTGCATTCTGAGAGCAGAGTTGTAGCATCAGGGAGAAACACGTGCAAGGAGTAACCATGTGACATCAGAGGCTGGAGTCAATGAAAGGGATGGAGCTACTCCTGAATGCAAATGTAGTGTGCTTGAAAACCTAGAGGTGACACAGGAGTTGCTTCTTGGGGATGGAGGAGCCCAATACAGCAGTGAATTAAACTCAAACAATTTGATTTATATAAAGTAGACTTAAATGCATTTAACATTAGTGGCATTCAACTAGTATCATATGAATGTCCAGTTTTGAAGTCTTAAGACTCAACTTAGGAATTTTTTTCAAACAGGCAAGTGAATCTAAAATTTTGATAACTCTCTTGGGGGCCTGAATTTGAGACCCAAGAAAGTTTACAAAGATCAACTTCCCTAGTTCATCCAGAATAAATGGTACCAAACATAGGTTATAGAAAGGTATAAATGATGCCCAAAATTTTACCTTTGAGTCTACTCTATACTTCTTAGGGAGCCAAGACAGAGGAAACAAATGCAGGTGGGTTTTTAATGCATAAGCATTTTAAATATCCATTGTTTTGTTCTGGATAATTTAGAAGTTTTTGAAACCCTCTGAATCATTTTGCTTGGGAGAATAATGTTATCTCGGGTTGTAGATCTAACGAGGCTTTGCCTTTCTGGAGCACCACGTGAATAATATCTGTAGAATCAAACGTTCATGATAAGATCCTTGATTTCAGAGAAGGATTTATATGGGATCCACAGAGAGAATAAAAGGTTTAGCATTTTTGACCATTAGATAACTCAACATGACTTAAAATAAGCCTACAATAATTACCTTCAGTCATACTACCCAAGATAACTAGTGAAACTGTTTTTAAAAATATTTTAATGAAATATAGACACAAAGTGGAGTTACTATTGAAATAAAACCAATTATCCAATAATGGATTGTCTTCAGTATTATAAAATTGTACATAAACACCAAAAGTATGGTATGAATTACAACTTTTAAAAACTTAAGGTAAGTTAAAATATTTTTCTTCCATTTTAAATCAAGGTTGCTTTGAAGCATTTCAAGCGCATGAGGATGACTCCTTTTTAGAATTAAGTTCATTAGAGCAGAATTTGTACAATTTTAATCATTAACTTACTGATATCATCACAATGGAGGTGAAAGCGAAAGTACCTGTAAGTCATAATATATGAGTAACTCATAAAAACAAACTGATGGAAATGTAAATTCCTATAGCATAACCCATGTTTTCCATGGTGTTTGATACAGAAAGTCCTACTAGGAACATTTGCATTGTGTCCCTGAGCCCCCTTCTACTTCATTCCCCCATTCCATTGACCCATCTGGGGCTGGTGCCTGGTCTGATGGCTCTCTTCCCCTCTGTAGGTACTCTGTGTGTATGAAGAATGTTGTACATCTTGGCTGGTGAGGAGCATGTATTTCAGTCCCTGCAGAGAATATTCACAGTGTTGCTGTTTTAGGTGCCCAGGTAAAAGGGCTGCAAGTAAGAACTGTAATGAATTGGAAACTCCATGGAGTCACAGCTGACTTATAAATTCGTTTCCGAGTCAGGGCATGAGTCAACCATTACTGATAATTAAAATTCAACCTGATAATCCCTTAGCAAGCTTCCTCTTGGAAACTGCTCTGCTTCCTAGAGAACACTAGATACCCCTTAGCACAGTCAGATTGTCCCCTGTCCACATTGGAATAAATCAGTTGTTCTTCATTTGAGGGCCAGTAATTTAGGGATATATTTGCATGAAAAATATTTGATTCTCAGATTCACTGCAGAAAGTATCGTGGCTGTGCAAGATATCTGGGATGGAGCCAGGTGGAGGTAACAGCATGAATCCCAGCCCAGACTCTGAACTCCATGAAGACTGGTGCCATATCTGTTATGCTTGCCAGTGTATGCTGAGGACTTAGCACAATGACTGTCCTGTAGGTGATGTTCAGGACTAGGTTTGCGGTTGTGCGAACTGTGATCTGCACTGGCTCCCACACTCAGATGATACTCACATTGGGTTTATTGCTCTGCTGCTGTCATCTTGAAATTCTGAATGCCTTAACAAGAAGCCTGACATTTTCCTTTTTCGCTGAACCTCACATATTATGTGGATGGTCCTGGTGACATTTAATAAATATGCTCCAGCTGGATGAGTGAGTCAGGCCATGGTCACCCCCTACCCTTACCTCCTTAAACTCTAGAACAAGGTGGGAGCAATACATTTTTCTTTCATCCGATTCTAAAGTTCAAACCTGCCTAGTTCTCAATTTGCTGGACTCAGACCCTTCTTCTCTAGTGAGTAACTATAACGGGGGCATCCACACAGTGCCGTAGATGTTCTCCTCTAGATCTGCCAGCTCTGCAGTGGAGGAATCCTCTAAGACTCTGATCCAGGAAATTCTCCTGTATCAGTGTTTTACTAGAGAAATAGATATAACACAAGATAAACAAATGTATAAGAAATTACAAGTCTGGCTTATGACGGTCAGCAACAGAATTGGATGAGGAGGTGTGCAGAGGGTGTTTGCACACTGGAGACCAAAGGATTCAGTCCAAGGTCTGGAGTTCACTGCAGTGTTCCACGAAAGTCTGTATCAGGAGGCTGATGGGTCTGTGATAGAAGGAGTCTACACCAGAAGGCTGAAGGATCCAAGGCCAAAAAGTCTGCACTAGAAGCCAGGGAATGATGTCCAAGTGAAAGGCTAAGACTGGAGCTCCTCCAAAGAATGGAAGCCCCTCTGTCCTTCCTCATTTCCATTTTATATCATCTAGGTGATGATCCACCCTATGGTGGATCCTCTACATCCTAGGGTGTGGAATTGCTGAGCCGATTTAGTTAAGCTTCTAAACTTCTCAAGTTGACACAATCAATTGACCACTACATTTCCCAAGAGAACAATTTAATCTTGACTGCAGAGTATAGGAGGCATCAGTATTCAAGTTTCAAATGGTCTCTGCCAGATTCAATATTGCTGTTGCCTAGTCTCATAAAAAATTATAAAGTTCGAGGGCTGGGGTATAGCTCAGTGGTTGAGCTCTTGTTTAGAATGCATGAAATCCTCTGGTCAGTACTCAGCAATGCATACACACACACACACACACACACACACACACACGTACGTACAAATAAAATGTATGGAGTCCAATCTTAGAAGGCCAATTTGCTGTGCTGATAACTGATGTGGTATTGGATAGCCTCAACATCTTTTTTTTTCTGTTCACCTGACCTACCTTGACCTATCTTTGATCATTTGACTGATCAACAGCTGCACCCAGATGCACTATACCAGAGCTGTGCCTCACCTTCAGGCTCTTTTCTGTTTACTACAGGTAGCTCCCACAGCCATCTGTGCAAGGCCAAACCTGGAAGAACAAGAGAGTTAACACTCCAAAAGCAACCCTTGGCCCAGTGGGGATGGGTGGTTGGCTGTTGTCTGAAGTGAGGATGATGCTGAGGTGCTTGGTGCAGGTCTCCACAGGGTTCCCAGGAGAATCACGCTCCAGTTGTCCACGGTGACCTGCTCAGGAACCAGCTCTTGGAGTAGTTTCTTATCCTTGCCCTTTTCCGTTTTCCCTAGCACTTTTCTGTTTCCTCAGCATTTCTTGCTAAAATGAATTCCCGGCAGCAATCTTTTGTCTCAGGCTCTGTTCAACACTACTATAGCTGGGATGTGTCAGTTGGCAATCTTCAAATGAGAAAAGGCTAAACCAAACTTCATTAAATCATGTCAGTGAAAAGTAAGAGGGAGAGCTAGCTTAGCTGAGAATGAACAAGGGAATATTTGCCAGGTCCTGTTTTGTTTGTCTAGCTCCATTCCCCAGTGCCACTTCTGCACTGGCTCCATTTTCAGATGAGTTCACTGTTTGTATGGCAAGATGCTGGCGACGTTTCCAGAACATTCACTCCTTCAACTTCCTAGCCAGTAGGAAGCCAGATCTTCCTGTCCTCTTGTGAACCAGAGGTCCTGGTTCTGATTGGTCTTGGTTCAG